GAATCTGACATATCTGAAAATGTGAGCAAATCACAAAATCTGAAAATAAATTTAAAGAAAACTAAAGTTAGGATTAATAATTACAACAGATCTCGGATTATCCACATTTTTCTTATCTTATCTACTAGGAACTTTTCTCGAGATCCTAACTGAAAAAAAGAATTTGCGCTAATAAACTAATAAATACTTAAATATACAATTTTGTCAAGTTGAGTAAACACAAAATCCTACAAAAATACAAAAACTATGACAAAAACCCAATAGAAATTTTCAACAATCTGAGTTTTTGCAATGGTTTTTGTTAACTCTGATCTCCCCAGATTTTCCCAAACCTCCCAAGATTCCCTTAAGAGTTTTGTATATCTCCTACAAGGTGTACACATGACATGCCGTTGTTAATGACTTAATTTTATCAACCTACATAATTTTAATTTTACTTAGGTATGACAAATTTATTTTTCCTAATAGCTAATGTAGTTCATGGAAATTGTACTGAAAAAGGGGTGTTTCTCATTTTTTGATATTTTGTATCTAATGAAGTGGTAATGACTAATGACAAATCGGAGTTTTCGACCTCGAAAGCCCTCCCGCGACCTTATAGTCTAGGAGGCAGTGACGATTTTCGGTACTTATTTTCCCAGTCATGAAACATGGATAGAATTGTAGGGTTAGTAATTCTAAGCAAAATTCATACATATTTAGGGGGGGGGGTTCCGATGGGTTGAGGCGCAAAATGCGTTAGAGCTTACCAATGCAAGGACCCTTTTTTTTTCAGTAATAAAAATAGCTCTACTTATGAGAAGTAAGTATACTGATGTTACGTAAAAAAATAGTCCGGCATCTGTAAGTATGGATAATACATCTGGCAAGTGAAAAATTGAAGATCCGAAAATATTCAGCCAGACTTACTTCCCACTATCTGAGATAAGCCAAATTGCTATGTTCATATTATACTTTATGTTGTATTGTAGTAAATGTAAAATATTTATGACTGGGAAAATGAGTGTACTTGTATTTTTCATTGATCTTGTGAACCCATCTGAAAATTTTTGCGAAACTCAAATATTCTTGTTTTGTATCACCAAGAGAACAAAGTAGTAGTAGTAGTAAATATGCTTTATTGTCCAAGAATACAAAAATCTTATTGACAAAGCTAACCTAACTTAAATTAAATTTTATAACTGGACACAACAACAACAAAAAAAAAACAAACTTTATTTAGTAGGTATGTCAGTCAAATTAAGATAAATAAATAAATAGGTAATAGCTATTTACCTAACAAGTGCGGAAAATGAATTTTTCCGCAAGTGTTAGGTACAATATTTTTCCTACAGGCGAAAAAATGTAAAATTTTTCTTTTTTTTTTTTGACATATCAGTGCGGTAAAATTTTTTCCGCACTGACAGCCGTGCGGAAAAACTTTTTCCGCACTGATATGTCAAAAAAAAAAGTTTTATCGCACCGTGCGGGAAAACTCATTTTCCGCACGCATATCAGTGCGGAAAATCGATTTTTCCGCACGGCTATAGGAAATAGTTATTATACAAAATTTTACCTATGAGCATCTACATCTCCAAAAAAAGGCATTGATAAAATTAAATAATGAATCAGATTAATTAATGAAATGAGATTTAATTTAGAAATGATCAAAAATCCATTTTCTGTAAAAGTAAGGAATTTTGATTATAAATATCAAATTCTACTTAACCGCACACTATGCGGTAAAGTGCACTTTACCGCACACTTTGTAGTCTACTTTACCGCATACTATGCTGTAAAGTTAACTTTACCGCACACTATGCTGTAAAGTTAACTTTACCGCATAGTGTGCGGTAAAGTGATACTTTCCATTTTCAAATACGTGCGGTAAAGTGCACTTTACCGCACGCTCGTAGGTAAAATATAAAACAATACAGAAATATTTAATATACACCACTGGGAAAATAAGTGCTAAAAAATTTCACTGCCCCCTGGACTATTATTCTGTAACTTGCCCGCAGAGAATTGCGAAATTGTCGCTGTCAACCGCGAGTTTTCTACTCAGTTTTCTATTCAAGAAAAGCAACTTGTGACCGGTTGCTGGTTGCTATGTTATTGCTGTTCGTAGAGAATAGGCCTGCGGATCATTGTTGAATATTACTAAAACCGCCAAATTTTCACCCTTTTTTAACTTTTTGTCAATTTTGACCACCAAGGACTAATGTTATGGCGAAAGCATTGAGGTAGAATAATAAGCAGACGCTGTCATCATTTGAATAGTGCAATAGAAAACGGCATCGGTAGGCGTGGCTAAGTGTCGGAACAATATGGCTACTTGAACAAAACAGAGCCGAACTAAATGGATTCTTCATACATTTTATCTAAAAACGTGAAAAAGTCGAGATTATATCAAGAAAGAAAAAGTTGCTACAAAAACTTCAACATACTGAAACAGAAGATCCTTTCAAGGCCCAAAATAGGAATTCTGGGCTTCAAAAATTTTTCGCATTTAAAAAATCTTCGAATGGAAAATGCGGTCCTGATGCAATTCTGACGAGTTGCTATGGAAAAGGTGACAGAATCTCAGACAGAAGCTTCTATGGACAGAAGTGTTGTAACAATATGGCCGAAGTGAATACGCTTTTTTCTCCTCATGTCGCATCGTTATTATTCTACCTCAATGGGCAAAAGTCATTATGTATAATTTTAAAGTACCTAAACAAAATTAAAAAAAAAAAAAATGAGATTAATTTAGTCTTTGTAGGTGGAATAGTTTCTTAGCTACAGCCGGCATGTGCCAACCAGGCGCCATTTGGACAGGTCGTTGGATTGCCCAATTGTGTAGACCAATCTGAGGTCTCATAATTTTAAGCTCCGTCAAGTTAGCCCCCCCACATTCGAATTTTCTAGAAAAATTGCAACCACTTACTGTGCTCGAAGTGTGCTCTACTGTGCCGATGATATTTTGAACTGTGCCGTTTCGATAACAAAGTTATAGGAAAAAATAGATGAGGGGCTAACTTGACGCTCAGCCCCCCCGAAATTTTGGAAATCAGATAAAACCAAAAAAGATTCTTATCCAATTTGAAGTGTGCTGAACTGTGCTGTATCAGGTTTTTCTGAAAATTTCCATATTCGATCATTTTCCGATAAAATCCTACTGGGGGGCTAACTTGACATTCAGCCCCCCCAAAATTTTGGAAATCAGATAAAACCAAAAAGAATTATTATCCAATTTGAAGTGTGCTGAACTGTGCTGTATCAGGTTTTTCCGAAAATTTCCATATTCGGTCATTTTCCGACAAAATCCTACTGGGGGGCTAACTTGACGCTCAGCCCCCCCAAAATTTTGGAAATCAGATGAAACCAAAAAGGATTCTTATCTAATCTGAAGTGTGCTGAACTGTGCCGCATCAGGTTTTTCTCAAAATTTCCATATTCGGTCATTTTCCGACAAAATCCTACTGGGGGGCTAACTTGACGCTCAGCCCCCCCCCCAAAATTTTGGAAATCAGATAAAACCAAAAAGGATTCTTATCCAATTTGAATTGTGCTGAACTGTGCTGTATCAGGTTTTTCTGAAAATTTCCATATTCGGTCATTTTCCGACAAAATCCTACTGGGGGGCTAACTTGACGCTCAGCCCCCCCAAAATTTTGGAAATCAGATAAAACCAAAAAGGATTATTATCCAATTTGAAGTTTGCTGAACTGTGCTGTATCAGGTTTTTCCGAAAATTTCCATATTCGGTCATTTTCCGACAAAATCCAACTGGGGGGCTAACTTGACGCTCAGCGCCCCAAAATTTCGAAAATCAGTTTGCACAAAATTGAATTCTCATCCAATCTGAAGTGTGCTGAACTGTGTTGTACCAGGTTTTTTTGGAAATTTCCATATTCCGTCATTTTCCGACAAAAAACTAAGAGTTGATGCCAAATTTCAGAAATCAGATCAAAGAAAAACGGACTCTTATTCTTATTAAATCTGAAGTGAGCTGAATTGTGTTTTATCAGGTTATTCCAAGTTTCCATGTTTGGCCATTACCCGATATAAACCTAATGGATGGTATGTATGTAAATTCTCAGAGCTGAACGTCAAGTTAGCTAGTAGGATTTTGTCGGAAAATAACCGAATAAGTATGTAAATTTTGAGAAAACCTGATCCAGCAGAGTTCAGCACACTTCAGATTAGATAAGAATCCTTTTTGGTTTCATCTGATTTCCAAAATTTTTGGGGGGCTGAGCGTCAAGTTAGCCCCTCATCTATTTTTTCCTATAACTTTGTTATCGAAACGGCACAGTTCAAAATATCATCGGCACAGTAAAGCACACTTCGAGCACAGTAAGTGGTTGCAATTTTTTTACCAAATTCGAATGTGGGGGGGCTAACTTGACGGAGCCATAATTTTAAGCATAAAGGTTCATAATAACAATGGTGTCAATGGTCTGATCTTAAACAGTAGCCGAGTTACAGGCGATTTAAAATTTACAGAAATCACTCATTTTCTTCACTCTCGCGCCACTGGTAATTTTTTTGCTTTTCTAACTATATTTTTTGTCCTTTATTCGAATTTTGATTAATGTTTTCTCAAATCAAAGAAACATTTAATTACTTGGAACCCCTGTTACTGATTACCATCAGAGTAATCAGACCCTTGTTTATGTGATGCTTTTTGTTTAAAATTATGACACCCCAATATAAAATGCTATCAAAACTATTGTTAACTCAGAAAAGGATTTTTTGGATTTCGAAGTTATTTTGTTCTACTCGTTACACTCTATACAATGGTACCAATATTTCGTTTTTTGAAAATAGTGCCCTTTTGCATGGTCTAATTTTGGATCACCTCCAATATATTAGTTTTCAATACAATAACATTCAGCTTGAAGAATCTTCGTTGTACCATTTCCAATTCATATGAGTGAAGTCCAAAAGTTATTATACACAATTTTTATTTAGGCCCCTTTTGGTCACTTGAATCAATGTAATAATAAATAATATTGTTTGAAATTCTATTTCAGAACAATATGAAGACGAAGACACAGAAGAAATCACCACTGAACTATGGCAAGAAGCCTGCTGGATCGTTATCAACGCCTACTTTGACGAAAAAGGTCTGGTCCGTCAACAATTGGACAGTTTCGATGAATTTATTCAAATGTCTGTTCAAAGAATTGTTGAAGATTCACCTGCCATCGAACTGCAAGCGGAAGCCCAACATACAACTGGAGAAATTGAAGTACCTCCAAGATTTTTACTGAAATTTGAACAAATCTACTTGTCCAAGCCTACGCATTGGGAAAAAGATGGAGCACCCTCTCCCATGATGCCTAACGAGGCCAGACTCAGAAATTTGACATATTCAGCCCCCCTGTACGTCGATATAACCAAAACAATAATCAAAGATGGGGAAGATCCTATAGAGACGCAACATCAAAAAACTTTTATTGGAAAAATTCCTATTATGCTAAGATCCACATATTGTTTGCTTAGTGGACTTACAGATCGTGATTTGACAGAATTAAATGAATGCCCCTTAGACCCCGGTGGTTATTTCATTATAAACGGCTCAGAAAAAGTATTGATTGCCCAGGAGAAAATGGCCACAAATACTGTATATGTATTTTCGATGAAAGATGGCAAATATGCCTATAAATCTGAAATAAGATCTTGCTTGGAGCACAGCTCCCGTCCCACATCAACTTTGTGGGTTAACATGATGGCGAGGGGCGGACAAGCTATCAAAAAAGCAGCCATCGGTCAACGTATAATCGCTATTCTGCCTTACATCAAACAAGAAATACCCATAATGATAGTATTCAGGGCTCTAGGTTTTGTAGCTGACAGAGACATTTTGGAACACATTATTTACGACTTTGAGGATCCGGAAATGATGGAAATGGTCAAACCCTCATTGGACGAGGCTTTCGTCATTCAAGAACAAAACGTGGCACTGAATTTTATTGGTGCCAGAGGAGCCAGGCCCGGTGTGACGAAAGAGAGACGTATCAAGTATGCTAGGGAAATCTTGCAAAAGGAAATGCTACCGCACGTGGGTGTGTCCGACTTTTGTGAGACCAAAAAGGCCTATTTCTTAGGGTAAGGATTAATTAGATGAATGTTGCTTCGAATTGTTGGTATAATTTTTTTTTTTAGTTATATGGTGCACCGGCTTCTCTTAGCCGCTCTTGGACGACGTGAATTAGATGACAGAGATCACTATGGCAATAAAAGATTGGATTTGGCTGGGCCTTTGTTGGCTTTTCTGTTTAGAGGGTGAGTTTGATGTTACAGGTTACATTTATTGGTTTGGTTATCAATAAAATTTGACAGTTCTTTGAAAATTGTTGAGCATGGATATGAGTATTTACTAAAAAAATGTTAGCAAATTTGGAAAAAAATTGTGTTGCCCTCAGCAAATGCGATTTTACTCAAGGACATCAAGAGTCAAATCAAATCAGAAATAATACTATAAAGACGGAAAAGTTTTCTTCAAATACAGGAAGTATTATTGAAGATTAGAAGCACCTTTTATAATTTAACTAAGACCTGTGATTTTGATCTATTTCTAGCTATAGGCATAAAAAAGCATGTGAGTGATTTTTATACATCTCTCAAACATAATGCTGGTAGACTGTCTAGAAATCCGGAGACGGTACAGAGATTTGGATCGGATTGATTGAACATGCCTTATTATTCAAACACTTAAAATTCATTGCAAACTCCCTCATCCTTGACGTAATTTTGTGTTATTATTGACTCAGTTTGAGGTTAATAAACGACCATATCACACTTACTTTGGTTTTCGGGACGGTTAAGGGGTTTTCGGAAAGCTCGGGCGCCACTCTTAGGATTATAGTGGTTAAGGGCCCACGTGCTCCAGGTGGCTTTTAACAGAGGTCAATATGCGCATCCCCAAAATGAAACACAAATAAAGTTTATTAGGTCGAAAATAATAGATACAAAACGTAATGGAAATGATAAAAAGGTAATATTCAATGAACTGACGGAATGACGAAAAGAGAGAGCGAGTGGGCGAATACTAGCGTGCACTTTAGGTTATGCGGTGGTAAACGCGAAAGCTTATGTGGGACGGTAACGGTACGCGGGAAAGAAGCTCCACTCTAGTCTAGAGAGATCCAGCTCCTTCAGCCGTCAGTGCTGGTGATTTGGCATCTTAGGCGATCTGTGCGGGGTGCATGACGTATCCTAGTATACAAAGGCATAAAGACAGAGAAAGCCACCCTGTAAACGGTCCAGCTCGTAACCCTCTCAAGTCCGTCACAGAAAGAATAGGGCCACCCTGTAAACGGTCCAGCACGTCGCCCTATTCAATCCGTGTATCCCCATGTATAGCAAGAGCATCATGCACGAAAGAAACGATCTGTGTGAAGTGAAAAATACTGAATATACATTGATATAAGGAAAACGAGTGCCACCCTGTAAGCGGTCCAGCACGTAACCCCCATTGTCCGTCACAGAAAGAAAAGGACCACCACCCCGTGTGCATCACTGTTTAAAGAGTAGTCCCACTCACCCAGATCGTACGATTTACTGAGGCGTCGCGACGGCGCTGACGACGGCGGAGCGGAATTCAAGCCAGTGGCTTACTTCGATGGTCGGTGGTCTGGATGCTGCTGGTCTGGGCTGCTGGTAGGCTGGTACCTATAAACAGAAGAAGAAGAGTGTCCCAATTGTGGCCGCGCGCCTCCTTTTATTATCGGTCGTCGAGCGTCGAAGGTGAGAAAGTTCGAAAAACTGCGATGCTGGCCGAATGCACTATGCGGCATGGCGTTCGGCTCTATTGGATCGTACGTTTCAGGCAAGGTCACGCGCAAAATAATATTTCAATTAATTAGTATGTAGTAATAATCCGACCAAAGTAATTAACTTAGAACCGCGGTAGCAGTCATTAAAATACCCGGAAACTTATGTAGCTTCGTTACACATCCCCTCTTCTTCGGTAAAATTATTTATACCTATAAATATTTTTCAAATTTCAACAATAATTTAGTTTAATCGATTCCCTAACACACAATGAAAGAAATTAATATATTTTATACTCGCGGAATCAACCTAAAAAAATTAAACAAATACTTCCTGTACTCCTGTGCCTGGTCTAGACGTGAATAGGCTTTTCCGCGTCGAGGTCCACGTTGGCTGGTGGTTCCCTCAGGGCCCCCCCTGGTACTTGACCAGCTAATCGGTATTGATAACTTAACGGGTTTTTTTTAATTCATGGCGTACGGACAGCTACACAAGCGACATGGTCTAGCTGTGTTGATAGGACTGTATTCTAACAGACGCTCGAGGCGGGCGAGTCGCTTGCCTCCCTCGTGGAGGGGATGATCGGGACGGTGCGCAGGCGCAAGTGCATTCCTTGGATAAGTATCCCACCCTACCATACCTCGAACAGAATTTCACCGGCTTGCCAGTGCAGGATTCCCGGTGGTGTCCGGGGTATCCGCACCTCCAGCATAAATCCATTTTCACGGGCAAGTACACATCGTCTAACGGATGATGACGTTTCGAAGAGGAAGGTCGGGTCTCCGACTTGTCATCCGATGGTCTTTTGAACACCTCCGAGGGTACACGGGGTGCAGATCCAACGGGTACGGCCTTCTCTCGGGACGAGCTTGAAAAGTGTCGCCGGGTTGGGACGGAATACGAAATTTCTTCGGCGGATCCACGGTTTCCTACAAAAGAAAAACAACTGGTGATTACGCACGAACATACGCCGGTTTAAGGTCTTTAATGTGAACCTGTAATAGACCTATCTATTTTTACCTGGTATGCGCGCGCAACACGAGGCAATGTTTTTTTATTGGCTAGCTAATACAGGTGTGAGGTGATCGTTTTGCACGCTGGGCATCTCTTTATCCTTGTTCATTGCACGTGGTCTGACAAGAATAAATCTAAAGTTGATATTCAACTTGACAACTGTCATTCAGAAGTTGTTTGACATTTTCATTGACAAATACGTTGCACAACACGCGGTTTTTCTCCTTTCCTTTTTATTCTGTGCAAATAAGAAGGACGAATTGCTATACGTAAGTCTAACATAATTTGCTACGTTTTGCCTCGTCTTGTGCAATGAGCGTTCTGTGTCTTTTTTTTATTTAATGAAGTTTTCGTATTATTGCCTCTTTGTCTGGTAAAATAGATAGGTCTATTAAATAAAGTCATTCTGGCATGTGTTTAGGCGCTCTATAGTTCTTACTCTAAGGGAAATGTACAATAGTCTGGCAACATTGTAAACGATTCTACCAGGAACAGACGAATACTATAGACAGCCCTGCACAGGCGCCCACGTGCATGGCAACCCGAGTATATTTAAGTCGTATAGGATGTTATCTTAAGCCAATTTAGACTTAAATAAGTTTGCGACTTAGTGTTTTTATTGAAGTTAGCTATATGATAATATAATAAATCTTCAATAAAAATATTTTGTAACTATCTTATGCGTTCTTTTTAAAACTGTAATAAGATAACAATAAAACAAATTACACTTAAGAGTGATTGGTCTTATGAATTGGCATTATAGTATGTTATAAGACCTAATTTTCTTGTATTTTATAAAAGACTATAAAATAATCTTGTAGAAAGCTTTATTACACAATTAAAACATATTTTTGTCTCTGAGATACTTTTGTTTCAACTGCAGTCACTATGTGATAAAATTGTGTATGTAGGACCTTAATACACCAGTTATATAGCATTTTAACTATTGAGAAACAATCTGTGCTAGTTGGGCGGTGTTGCCAGTTCAGATAATAGGCTTTCGATTTCCATTAAGGTGCGGGAAAATGAAACTACATCGGTAATGTCGATTTTCCGAATATGTTGTCTGTATTCTGGTAACAAGTTTCTATACAGCCACTGAAACTCCTGGTCCGGGGTTATGCTTCCATGCCTCCTGATGAGCCGGCGACTAAGTTCAATTTCCAGGTCGGCGGCATAGTTGATCGGAAAATAGAAGCTGCGAATATTCGTCAGAAATTCGTCCCTGGTATTCCATTGGGCTTGGTTATTTTGGTACCAGAGGGATGCGTCACCCTGTAAAAATTCAGGGATATGCGGCAGTAATCGGTCTATCAGTATCCATTGGGAGGCACAAATTTCCTGTAGCCTCTGTATGAATGTCCCTGGGTCGGTTCGTCCATTAAAATAGATATTCCATTTATGTACTTTCACAGCCATTCCCGGAGACCCGGATGCAACTGGGGAAGGCGACTGGTGAATGGTTATAGTCGGTATCGGCGGATTGAGCACCTAAGTTGTTCCTGATGACCCAGTATTAGCATTACTGGTTTAAGTCAGGGTAGCGGTACTACTTACCTGCGTTGTATACATGCCGGAACCGGTTGGAAAGTTAAACCCTGTCATTGTGGTCGGTGCCGGAGAAGCTTTTCCCTGGCGATAGAATGTAACTTATCGCCTTTTTAATATGTCCACGGTTCCTGTAGTATCCAGTCCAAACTCACTTAGTTCAGGAATCAGCTCGTCTTTCTTTAATAGATACACCCAACTTACAGGGCCATCGTTGGGTAACAGACGGAGTACGTGATTATTGGAACATTACCGGACTGGTTGTAACTACGGTGGAGGCAGTGGTATTCGGTATACTGGTAACCGGTGGCTTTCCATTGTTGCCGGTGCCTCCGGTCATTGTAAATCGGGTTAACGCTTATTTACCGGTAGTGGAATACAGGTGAGGTTAATCGGCAACGGCTTTCAGCGGTTCCCTAACAATCAGGAAACAGGTGTTCTCGGACTGGGGTCTGTCGGAACGGCGGAATTCTTTTTTCTACTGGCAGTATCGTTAAATAATTCCTCAAGCTTCGGGTTGCATGTTGGCAGGTCAATCGCTCTATCGGAACTCTAGTGATTCAAAGTGTAGAATGTAAAGGATTTGGTTACGCAAGTCTCTTGAGCTTTAGTTGATACGGTTGAGCGGTATGTTTCTCTCAGAATGGTTTACTAGATGTTGCCTCTTTGAGGGCTCGGTCGGATCTCTTGCTAAATCGCGTGATGATCTTAATTTATATTCTTCCAAGGCAGTGGGGAAACATTTTCCACCAAAAATTGGTGGGAAGATGAGGGCTAGTGCGCACACTCTTCTTCTCACGGTTTACTATTCGGTAAATGCGGTAAATCTTCAGAAATATTACGAAATATAGCAACTTGGCAACCGGTACCGGATACTTCTAATCTAGTAGTAGAATGCGATTTGGCAACCCTGATTTAGTCGGAAAGATGGTATGACACAATTCCTGCATGTACAGTGGACATTTCCGTGAAAATGGTAACGGAGAAGCCGGTTTCTGTGAAATCACATCAATAGGGATAGTTTTAGGATGGAAAAATGAAATCAGCGACCTCGGATTACAAGAAAAGCGGCAACTCAAATTTTGATACGCGCATGCGCTTACCAATACTTCCAAAAAATAGAGACCCTTGGTCTAATGCGGTCCAAATTACAACAGGAACATCTTCCACGGACGGACGTCATTGGTTGAGACCTCCAACTTATGGGGCGGATGACAAGGTATGCGCCGAACGGTCCAATAGGAGCGGTTCATTCGTTCCGGCGCTATGTAGTCTGGCAATCACATACAAAACGGTGCGGTAACGGTCAAACCTATGGGCTTCGCCAAAACCAACGGCCTCTCGGTAGAAACGGGGACTGAGGACGTAATTACCTCGGTCATATGCTGACATCATTGACGTTCGCAAAACGGTCAAAATGGTCCCTGCTCGGGCGCCAAATTTGTAGCGCTACTTTGGCTTTCCGGACGGTTAAGGGGTTTCTGTAAAAGTCGGGCGCCACCCTTAGGATTATAGTAATTAAGGGCTCATGTGCTCCAGCAGGTAGCTTTTAACAGTGGAGACAGAAAACTAGAGGTCAATAAGCGCATCCCCAAAATGAAAAAATGTAACCAACAAATCAAGTTTATTAGGTCAGTCAGTGCTGGTGATTTGGCCTTTTAGGTGATCTGTGCGGAGTGCATGACGTATCTTAGTCTTAGTATACAAAACAAAGGCATAAGGACAGAGAGAGCCACCCTGAAAAAGGTCCAGCTCGTAGCCCCCTCAATTTTGTCACAGAAAGGATAGGGCCGCCCTGTAAACCGTCCAGCACGTAACCCCCATTGTCCGTCACAGAAAGAATAAGGCCACTACCCCATTCAGACCGTGTACATCACTGTATGTATAAAGAGTAGTCCCACTTAACCAGATCGTACGATTTACTGAGGCGTCGCGAGGGCGCTAACGACAGCGGAGCGGTAACCAAGCCAGCGGCTTACCTCGGTGGTCGGTGGTCTAGGTGCTGCTGGTCTGGGCTGCTGGTACCTGTGAATAGAAGAAGAACAGTGCGCCAATTGTGGCCGCGGGCCTTCTTTTATTACTGGTCGTCGAACGTCGAAGGTGGGAAAGTTCGAAAGACTGCGATGCTGGCCGAATGCACTTTGCGGCGTTTATTGAATCTTGCATCGTACGTTTCAAGCAAGAAGCAAGGTCACGCGCAAAATAATATTTTAATTAATTACTTTGTAGAATTAATCCGACCGAAGTGATTAATTTAGAACCGCGGTAGCAATCATTAAAATACCCGGAAAATTATGTAGCTTCGTTACAAAACCTATTGTTTTCATAGTTTATTTGCCATTATCTGCAGATTATTCAAAAACCTAATGAAGGAAGTCAGAATGTACGCCCAAAAGTTCATCGACAGAGGAAAAGATTTCAACTTAGATTTGGCCATCAAAACGAAACTCATCACTGACGGCCTCAAGTATTCACTCGCCACTGGAAATTGGGGCGACCAGAAAAAAGCTCATCAAGCCCGTCCAGGTGTATCTCAGGTGCGTATTTCCAAACAAAACACGAAACATTTTTGATAAATTCTTATTAGGTATTGAACAGGCTTACTTTTGCCTCGACATTGTCTCACTTGAGACGTGTAAATTCACCTATTGGCAGAGATGGTAAACTAGCTAAACCGCGTCAATTACACAACACCCTTTGGGGTATGATTTGCCCTGCTGAAACCCCCGAGGGCGCTGCCGTTGGTCTAGTAAAGAATTTAGCGCTAATGGCGTACATTTCTGTCGGGTCTCAGCCGTCTCCGATTTTGGAGTTTTTGGAAGAATGGTCCATGGAAAATTTGGAGGAAATTGCACCTTCTGCTATTGCAAATGCTACCAAGATTTTTGTAAATGGTTGTTGGGTAAATATACATAATTATTATTTTTTTGCTGCAACTACTTTTAAATTCATATAGGTTGGTATACATAGAGATCCAGAACAACTGATGGCAACTTTAAGAAAACTGAGACGTCAAATGGATATTATTGTATCAGAAGTATCAATGGTCAGAGATATTAGAGATAGAGAAATAAGGATTTATACAGATGCAGGCAGAATTTGTAGGCCGCTTTTGATTGTAGAAAATGGCACTCTCCTACTAAAAAAGAAACACATTGACAACCTGAAAGACAGGGAATATAACAATTATGGTTGGCAAATGCTGGTTGCTTCCGGTGTGGTTGAATATATTGATACATTAGAAGAGGAAACGGTGATGATTGCCATGTCTCCTGACGATTTGAGACAGGAAAAAGAATACGCTTATTGTACTACATATACTCATTGTGAAATTCATCCTGCTATGATTTTGGGAGTGTGTGCCTCTATTATACCTTTCCCTGATCACAACCAGAGTCCCAGAAATACCTATCAAAGTGCTATGGGGAAACAAGCTATGGGTAAGTTGGGTTTACAGCTAGATGTTTAAATTTTCTTTTGGTACAGTAGGCAAGTTACATTTATTGTGAGTCTAAAAAACATATACTTCCAGGTGTCTACATTACCAACTTCCATGTCCGGATGGATACCCTAGCTCACGTCCTATACTACCCTCACAAACCCCTAGTTACCACCAGATCGATGGAATATCTACGTTTCAGAGAACTACCTGCAGGCATAAACAGTATAGTAGCTATTGCCTGCTATACAGGCTACAACCAAGAAGATTCTGTCATCTTGAATGCTTCTGCTGTTGAGCGAGGCTTTTTCAGGTAACAATTCTTCTAATAATAATTTGTAAGTTAATGTTGTTTTTATTACAAAAGGTCAGTATTTTATCGTTCATATAAGGACGCTGAATCGAAAAGGATTGGTGATCAGGAAGAGCAGTTTGAGAAACCCACAAGACAAACTACTCAGGGCATGAGGAATGCATTGTACGATAAATTGGATGAAGATGGAATTATATCGCCTGGTATAAGAGTGTCAGGTGATGACGTTGTGATTGGTAAAACTATGCTTTTGCCTGAAAATGATGACGAAGTATGTTTTGTAATCAAGCATAATCATGCATTCAACAAAATTCATAATTAATTTCAGCTTGACGGTACTACAAAGAGGTTCACTAAGCGTGACGCTTCCACTTTCCTGCGTAACAGTGAAACTGGAGTGGTGGATCAGGTCATGTTGACTCTTAATTCCGAAGGTTACAAGTTTTGCAAAATTAGGGTACGTTCAGTAAGAATACCTCAGATTGGTGATAAGTTTGCTTCTCGTCACGGACAGAAAGGAACCTGTGGGATTCAATATCGTCAAGAGGTAAGATTCTTTTCTTCATTTCAGGGTTGTCTTACATGAATGCTCTTATGAAGTTTTCAGGTTTATAGCTTGCTTCTATGCTTGTTATTTTAAACATTGGGTCACTGTTTTGCAAATCTTTGGTGTAAAATTTGTCATGCTCTTTTAGAATTTCTTGCAGTTTTTGAACACTTTCAATTTTTCCCAACTGACTTTTACTATTATTACTATTCAATTTATTCATTTTCAGGACATGCCATTTACATGTGAAGGCATCACACCAGACATTATCATCAACCCTCACGCTATCCCATCTCGTATGACAATTGGTCACTTGATCGAGTGCATCCAAGGAAAAGTATCTTCGAACAAGGGCGAAATTGGTGACGCCACACCTTTCAACGACGCTGTTAACGTACAAAAAATCTCAACCCTTTTACAAGAATACGGATACCAACTGAGAGGCAACGAAGTTATGTACAACGGTCACACCGGACGTAAAATCAACGCGCAAATTTTCATGGGTCCCACTTACTACCAACGTTTGAAGCACATGGTGGACGATAAGATTCACTCGAGGGCGCGCGGTCCTGTGCAAATTCTAGTGAGACAACCTATGGAAGGTAGGGCCAGAGACGGAGGATTGCGTTTCGGCGAAATGGAACGTGACTGTCAAATATCGCACGGAGCAGCTCAGTTTTTGAAGGAAAGATTGTTCGAAGTTTCCGATCCTTACAGAGTACACATTTGCAATTTCTGCGGTTTGATTGCTATCGCTAATATGAGGAATAATACGTTCGAGTGTAAGGGATGCAAAAATAAGACGCAAATTTCGCAAGTCAAGTTGCCCTACGCTGCAAAGTTGTTGTTCCAAGAACTGATGTCTATGAATATTGCTCCTAGGTTGATGGTGCTTTAATTTGACACACTTTACTTTGTATTTCTTTTAAATTAATGTTCTAGATTTGATTTAATTTGGAAATATATAATCATTTAAGTTTCTTTCTAGTAATAAATATATTAAAGGAGATTATGCACTTGTTTTATTGTACTGGATGCTCTTTGTAAGATATCAAATATAGTATTGGTGGGTTTCTCTAATATAAAATAGTACATATACTATTATCTCTTAATTTGAAAATGCTCATTGGTGCCTTCTTCAGAATTATAAAGGATAAAAGAAGTTTTTCAATCCAAGAAACCTGAACCCTGCAATGAATTCAGAAATTATTCTCAGAAAAATCTAAATGGTTTCAAATCGCTTTTAGAACATGTAGACTGGTCTTTTAGAGACGAATATAAATCTGGTTCCCAAAGGTTTAGAGCTTTTCATGGTTATTATCTCAAACAAAACAAATATTTGCTTCCCTCACAAAAAAATTAACCAAGAATATATTGTAGCGGTCTGACCAAGTTCTCGTCAATTAGTTAGATGGTAGATGGCGAATGGTCTCTTTGATTGTCTTTATTTCCTTGGGTAGCGGGTAGCTACAATTAAACTTGTGGAGGGGGTCTATTTGCAAATGAGAGAAACAACTGCAGTAAGGTTTTCGTAATATGTACATGAATTTTTATTAAATCCTAAAATTAATATAGGGTGTTCGGAATAACTTGAAGAAGATGGGGCAATTTTAAATTTGAATTACAAAATGCATACGCATTTTTTTTTTACCCTGTATATCCTTTGTTATTACTAGTTCAAAAATGCTGAGGACAGATTATTTGTAGGCAGTTGATTGCGCAGCTTTTTCCACACTTGGTCCACCCTGTATCTTCAATGGTTTCCAAAATCCCCATGTACTTTAAGTTATTCCGGACCGGTCACCCTGTATGCTTAGAATTTTCCAATGAGAATTTCATACATCTGTCAAAGCTGACATTCCAACATTAAAATGACATGTTTTGATTGTTGATTTGAACCAATCAGATTGGAATTACGCGATAATTTGCACTAGTGCAAATTATCGGATAATTGCATAGTAACTGGTGCGAGAACTGGTGTTTTGACCTTGTTTGAAAAAAAAATTAAATTTTTGAATCATGGAATTCTCTCATAAAATACAACTCGAGCAATAGAAATATATCTATAATTTTCGACAAATTCGCACTCATGCGTTTTTAACTGAAAAAAGCAGTAGATCAGGTCCCGGCAGCCGGGACATGAAAATCAAAATCCCGGCAACCAGGATTTTTTACATTTCGGATAGCAATACCGGCATCCGGGATTCTGATTGTAATTTTCAGGTCCCGGCTGCCGAGATTTTTTACGTCAGAAAATAAATCCCGGCAGTGAGTTTAGTTCATCACAAATTTTGCTATTCCTAATAGGTATGTTGTACTACATGAAAGAAATTTCTCGCTTTTTTATTATTGAATATTTTTGGTTCATGAAAATTAATGGATAGTTATTTATGATATAAGTATTGAAAGTACATTTTTAAGGCACATATGATATGTGAAAGTTAATGAGCGAAGCCTGCCTAAAAAATACTTATAATAGGGTATAGTAGGACTAGTAGGTAAGGAGCATTACGAGCGATAACACAGTTACAAATTAAATATTAGAATTTATGGAAGTTGACATTTTTGTCAACATGACCAAACAACCACTGTATACTTTGAATTCACATAAGTTTTATAATATGTGGCACACGTTTTCGGGCAGAAATAAAAGTTCTATTATCTCTCATCCAGTATTCGGTTAATATTTGCTTTTTATGCACTTCTAGTTCCTTTATGAAATCTTCAAATGAATTAAACTTATCTCCAAGCTTCATTTTCACCAGTAATAATAGTAAAAACCGAGGTAAAAACTAATAACACCATTCACCAACAAAGACTGAAGGTGAACAGGGCATAAAGATAAGCTAAACTCCTTATGATGTGGAAATGCCGGGTGCCGGGATTACTTTTCTAGTGTAATAAATCCCGGCAGCCGGGACCTTAAAATTAGAATTAAAATCCCGACTGCCGGGATTTCAAATCAAAATGTTAAAAATCCCGATTGTCGGGATTTTGATTGTAATTTGCAAACTTGCAGATCCCGGCTGCCGGGACCTGATCCACTGCCAACTAAAAATGCATTCGGGCAAATTTCCCAAATTTTATCGATAATTTCCATTGCACTCGTTATATTACTAACCCCAGAGTAAACCAAACTTATCTTTTCTAATTGATCCTAGTCATCCTGAGATTTCACAAACTCATATTTGAATCTTTGTTTCCAATTCTATAAATTATTTTCACTTAATTAGACGGAGCCATAATATTCAATACAAATTTTACTTTCAAATCCTTCTAATACTTCTAATAATTGGGAAATATAAAGCTTTTTTGTTAGAGCCCAAAATATTTAACAGTCAATTTTATTTCAAAACTCTTCGGATAATTGAAGAGTGAGAATTCAAAAGGGTCAAAGTGCCGCTTTTACCAAATTCTAGAGTAAGCTTGTTTAGAAGTGTATGTGCCAAGGCCAATAGCGTGCAAAGCGGTCTATGTGCCATCCATCCGCTAAATGTATTATTTGGTGATCTCCAAATCTGGGGTGCGATTTTCGAAACCATTCGAGTACATTTCGTACACGAAATTTGACTTACAGCAATGTAAATTAAATGGGGAGCAGTCAAATTTCGTGTACGAAATGTACTCGAATGGTTTCGAAAATCGCACCCCTGCGCATGGTCCAAGCGTCAGTGCCTGTTGTACGTTGAAAGGGTGTGTATAGTTTGGCAAGAGGTAACCATAGAGAAATATAAATAGTAGTAAACTACGAGAGACGTTTGTTTAATGTAACAATCTGGAAGTGTGTTTGTGCACATACCCGTAGCGTATTTCGCATGGTGTGGCAGATTATTGAACTAATTACTTGGATCGTTTCTGACAACTCGGTTTAATTTGTCTTTGTCAGCAACTTGCCCGAAAATGTTCTACCTTTTTTTAACACATACAAAATACAAAATTTGACAAATGATTGAATCCAAAGACCATCAATCAAAAACTGAATGCTCACAATCATAACGTAAAATTTCTTCTATGGGCACTTTCCAAAATTCACCGGTTTCTGAACCGGTGCAATACCGGTTTAATAGTTTACTCACCAAACCGTTCCAAAATGTACCGACTTTTCACCGGTTGAACCTAATCGTTCGTTCCAAAATTGACCGGAATGATCAGCGGTTTGAAACCGGTCAGGCACCGAATCCACCGGGAATTTTTGTCGGTTTTTTCGGTTGAAGAATTTTTGACACTTTTTTTTTGACGTACATTAATTAAATTGCTTTGAATGGGCACTGTTGGCAGTCTATCGTTAAATTGCTGCTTGTAGATTGCAGAATAAAAAAATGTTTGTGAGTGAACTCGACAAACCAAACACTCAGCTCACATAATCTACAAAAATCGTACTGAAAACTACCGTTTGTTGACTGTTAAAAATAATAAAAATGCATACCAACCTCACTGCGTCCCACAAAAAACCCATTCCAAACAACAATAAGCAACACCACCAAACTTTCACGCCAAAGCGATCCAAAATGCACCAGAAAAATCTTGTAACCGGACTTGCGTGTAACTTTTACCGGAATTTTTTGACAGCTACCGGTTTATTTAACCGGTCAATTTACCGGTGAATTTTGGAAAGTGCCCTATTATTTATATTAGAGAAATGAGAAAACATTCTATGATCATAAATATTAATTAATTAGACAAAACCGACGGTGTTTTCGAATTTGCGATGATGCGAGATGCAGTAAAAAACCGACCGTGTTTTTGAATTTGCGATGATGCGAGATGCAGTAAAAAGGTAAACACAAAGCTTATAATACAAACATTTTTAGTTACTGTATATTTATAAAATTGGAATAAAAAATAAGTTTGTTTGAAGATATCTCAATTTTTGTATTTTTCAATTACCTCCTTGACCCCCTTAAGGAATCTCATTGCATCTAATTTGGATTTTTTAAAAATAAGTTCTGTTATCGTTCTAAACAGTTGCTCGGTAAATTTTAGCAAGTTTTTTCAACAAATGTTTTGTTTTGCAATTAACTGTTTTGAGCGTTTACAGTATACTTCATTTTTAATAAATCTTAAATAAAATCAAAGTTAATAATTTAATTATTCAAAAAAGCCGCCTTTTCACTGTCGGTAAAGAAGAAACCTGCATTCAAACAATGTTAACTCTTTTATTGCTGTCCGTAGCCACCAGGGGCGCTAACGTCGACATTGTGCCAGTTAAGTACAGGGGAATGACTTCTCTCGTAGTTTACTACTATTATATTTCTCTATGGTGGTAACTTGGTAGAGACGAAAGGGGGAAGAAAACTGGGGCGTAACCTAAAAATATCCACTGACACGTACCACTGACTCCTCAACTGACACCGCCTGATGACAGCCATGTCTTTCGGTTCAGTGGCACCGGAAACACCAAGGAAATAAACCAATAAAATTATTTGAAAAAAATTCTCTAGTTCTGCCAATAAACACGCCACTGCGTGCTGTCGTTCAGACTCTAACCAATAGAATCATGCCTCTGAATAATCACGCCTCTCCACATCCATCATTTAGCAATGTTGCCGGATTTTTTTCTATTTCGAAATACTACACATGCCCATACAGCAAAAAAAATATGTCACCAACTTGTTTATCATTGTTTCTGTCAAGTTTGGCAAAGCAGCAAATTCTTTTGGAGTTCGCCGTTTGGCTAGCCAGACTATAGTTCCAAATACACTTATCAAAATTGTCTAGCGAATAAGAAATATCTATCCTTTAAGAGTGCGCTTCTCGATGCTGAAAATATGGATATTTCGCGTTCGCGATTATGCTGTTTTGATAAAAACAGTTGCATCTAGAAAATTCTAACAAAAACTGTTTTCAAGAATGTACTTTTGTGCTTGTTTGACCAGAATTTTTTTTTTGATTTTTCTAATTTTTCATAAAAAAAATTACAAGTAAACTTCCGTTAAATAGGTCAATTTTTACACGTGCATTTTACCATAACAGTGTCTTAAATCAAGAAAAACTCATTGGTAAAGCATAGAT